CAAAAAAAAAAAAAAATTCCGATCGATTTCGATTTAAGATCGAAATCTTGACACCCTTAGTAAATATATTAAAACCAGTCCTCATCACTAATAGTCATGCAAATATATCTACTGCAGTTGAAATGGTAAAGCAATCAGTCAAATAAAATAAAAAATGTTTTACTGTATAACAGAATTTCATTCTGTCCCCGTCACAAATAAGTTTTAAATGTTCTAACTGAGGCCATGTCCACACTATGGGCGTTTTAGTTTTAAGTTTAACACGGCGGTTTAAAATGAAAACAATCCTCGTCCATACTGACGTTTCCACTGCGTTTCAGAAAAGATCTCCGTCCACTATAAAATGCAGAGTTTAACTGCACAATGGCTGCTAAAAAGAACTACAAAGTCAGCAAAGCTTGCAGTTCCGTCTCCATGTTATTGTTTACACCGTCAAGACTGGTCTGTTATTGTCATCTTCCAGTAGCATTATGGTCATTTGATAGGAGCTTGACGAATCAGGGAAGGATATGCAATGATCCAGAGGAGAGGAGACCCAATCAGGGAGCGAATGTGGGCAGCCACGCCTTCGTTTTCATAAGTCTCCGTTTTGTTCTGTCTACACTAAAACGCAACCCAGGGGTTTTCAAACTGAAGCATTTCCAAAATCCTCCGTTTTCAAGTGTCAAAAACTCTGGAGTAGCAAAAGTTATGGGTTTTAAAACGAAAATGCAAAAGTGTAAACAAGAGCCGTAAACGTAGCCTGAGCCCCCCGGTGACTTATTTTAGAATGCATCACCTTTTTATTTCCATGGCAATGCACCAAGCTTGTCATGTGACACACCGCAGCCACAATAAAAGCTATATAGAGTACGAAGAATAGAGTACACTATAGTTACCTACACAATGTTTATCTAAAGTGAATAAATCACGTCTTTACGTCTGATATTTTCAGCATCTGTGGCCTCACTATACAAGAACACTCCACACATGAATTTCATCTGCAGAGCTGCTCTAAGAGCTTTTCCAACCCAATCTCATGAGACAAATTTCACGAGGTTGTTATTTCACATTTTACAAGTTCATATGATTGACATTCAGATAGTAATTTACACCGTACAAATTCATGCAAAATCACCCCCAAGTAAAAATGTACAATTTTAAGAGAAACGCATGAGGGTCTATATCTATAACCTCATTTGGGAAAAAATTAAATGGAATTTTGGAACATAATTTAATTTTCATCTGGGAACATTTCGGATTTCATAGGGCCCTAAACAGTTAAGTAATTCTTGAGCCACTCAAGATTTGGAGCCTGTTCTGAGCCACTGGTAAATTACATACTTCAATTTTATAAAGGCTACGTTCAGACTGCATGCAAATGTGGCCCAAATTCGATTTTTTTCCTCACATGTGGTTCCGACCCCGATCTGTTTTTCTCATGACAGTGTGAACAGCACAAACCACATGGAATCTTATATTTTCAATTCGACCTCAGTCAGAACAGTTCAATGGAAATTCATGCGACTTTTACGTCACTCTAGAGCCACATTCGTCACAATTCTGCGCTCATGGGAGTCACTTCAAAGATTTTACATATACCCGACATTACCAAGACAGTTGTGAAAGCTGTCAGTGGAAAGACAGTGATGTGTTAGAACTAACAATTATTACAATGTCACATAAACAAGAAAAACATGTGGGCTCGTTTCATATTTTTTTTTTTAAATCTGCTCTTTTTTCGCATCCTCGTCTTTGTTTTTTAGATTGCCTGCGCATAAATTCACTGGCTTCCGCGGCAGATCACACTATAAATAAACGCGTAATCGCTTACTTTATGCCCTCCGTGTTTACTTCCGAATGACAGCGTGACATCATCTTATAGTTTTTTTTGCATATACAGGTCAGTACAGGACCAAATGATCTGTTCACACTGGATTCTGATATTGGCCACATTTAAAACAACAATGTGAACAGCTATACAAGAAAAAAAAGAAAGAAAAAAAAAATCGGATCTGAGAAATAAATCGGAATTGAGCACTAGGCTTGCAGTGTGAACGTAGCCTAAAGAGGACCATGTATAGTGTTTGAATAACCCTGGAACTTTGATTGTTCTTTGTAATCTTAACCCAGGGACTGCAGGTCAGTGACTTAGCCTGGGTTCCCATGAATTCAATACCGGGCTTCCCAAATAACAAGGTCAGTTTGAGAAACCATTGTTACATTGGGTGGCCTGGCAAAATTCAAAATGAGGCGCTAACCGCTCCAATGCATTCTGATGTTGACGTTCCACATCATGACAGGACAATAAACTTGTAAATGTGACAACATTCCATTCTCCATCTATTATGCAACCAGACCCGACACATTAAACTCATGGTTGTGCGCGCGTACTCGGCACCTTTTGCTTGAACCCAGCAGGCCTCCCTGAGCCAAGTTTCCTGTGTGTCACAATGGCAACATGGCATGAAATGTCACCCTCCAACATGTTGCCTGATAACGTCGCTGAACTGAAATTTGCATAGAAATGCATGGCTGAGGTTTTAGAGCGTATATGCTTATTTAATGCACTCTTATTTCGGTGCGAGACAGATCTAAGAGTTGCGTTGACGAAAACCTGTCAGGCAGGTTGCTGTTGTTGTTTACATAGCAAAACGAGTGTTTTACATTCTCAAGATGTTGGAGGAACATGTTGGTGCTGGCGCTTCCCTATTTTACACAAAACTGGATGGTTGCCCAACACAGTAGGAAGTATCTGTCCACTTTATAGAATCTGGAAAGCTATTTCCTGTTGCCTTGTGTCACTTGGATTTCTTGTGATTATTTGTTGTGTATTATATGTGGTGTGCTATTATTATAAAGCATATTCTAGCTGTCTTTAACAAAATTTTGCTTCATTGTACAGTCCTAAAGTCTGAGACCAAATTGGGAGAAAAAATATAAAACCAATCAATGTTTTTTGTTTTGTTTTTTTAATAAACGTATAATGAAGAAATATTTAAGATTCTGTACAACAGTATTCTACACTATTCTAATATAAACTAATTTGTGACATACAGACCATTAACTCCTTTGGCCTTTGTACAGATGGTCAGATTTCCTTGCGTCAGTTCAATCACAAAATAAAACATTTCAAATCATGCTACAAGATAATATGACCATCAGGTTTTGTTTATGTCAGTTTGAGTGAAAAATGTGTAGTGATTCTTTTTTTTTTTTTCAAATCTGAAAAATATGTAGTGTGTTTTTGTTTATTTTAAGGCAAGACCATGGGCAAGACATACAGGCCGCAAAAAAAAAAATGTATGCATCAGTTTGAGATTTTGGGATATTTCAAAAAGTGTTGTTTCAAACTAGTGGAAAGAAAACATCCAGAAATACACTTTTAAGTGTTGATTTTATAGCACTTTATCTATTTGCGTCTGTAGATTTCAATTACAAAACGTATTTAAAGGCTGTTTTCTCAAAATGAAATCTCCACTTCAGCAGCTCTTAGCCTACATACACCAAATGTAACACTTTCATTCCTATCCATAACCTGAAGGTTTTTACAGAGAGGTTTATTAAAAAATTTACCTGATTTTATACATTTTATTCCTAAAAAAATGGCGGAAATGTATTGTTTTCTGGCTGAAATGTATTGTTTTTCTGGCTGTTTTTCACCCGTGTCTTGTCTTAAACTAAACTAAAAGTGCCCTTGAACTCTATAACTGCAAAACTGCTCAGGCCGAAGCAGGATGTGGAATTATCAGGCTTCAGTGCTCTATACATGGCGCAAATGTAGGTTAGTTCCGGGTTCTGCCCTGACAGTCAAATTACAAATCCAACTATGGCAAAGGATTTAGTCTTGAATATTAAGTAGGATGTTTGACGTTCGCTACTGGGTGAATGTCCCGTGACCTAATTAATATTCATGAGCCAAACCTTCCCCACAGTAGGATTTTTGAATTCGCGCCGCGGCCAACTCCCAGAACAGAAGGAACAGGGAGGGCTCACAAAAGAGGACTGGCTACGTGTTACAAAGGGCCAATTTACCGGTTGACAGCTGCATTTTCAACATGCACAATATACACAACTTCGTGCACACCGCCTGGGGATACAGTTATCGATACTAGTTCGTGTAACTGTGTGTTTTGTAAAAAGCCATTAATGTTATTCAAAAGATCACATCTAGCGCACAAAGCAGGTGCACCTTATTTTAAAAACTACTTTCAGTTTAGGGAAAATCGATTTATTTGGGTGTCAACATAACTGTTCTCTTTGCTTTATCAGAACATTGTAATTAAAAAAAGTGTAAAAATAAATAAATGTGTAAATAATCTGTATAGGCTATACAATCGTGTGTTTATTCAACATTGCACTATGTTTGTACAGTAAACGACTAATTATTGACAAATAAATATTTTTTAGAAATGTCAGCATTAAATTCTTTCTAATAAATACATTGTAGGCTACATATTACAAGGCTAGTAAGTAGCCTAATGGCAAAAAATTAACTGAAAAATTGCCAAACTTGTTTTTAAAGGGATAGGCCTCTCTAACCGAACACATTTACGCTATTTAAAATGTATAGCTTTAGATGCCAAAATGCTGTGTTTTTACAATTAATGACATTATTCGTTTGACACAATGTTTAAAATCACCTTCTCAAAACGGAAAGGGAACCTATTTGGAGAAAAACTCATTCAAACTCAAAGTATCTCCAGAGAAATCAGTGCAAAATTATTAATAAATGTCCAGCTCCATTCAGCAATAGAGCAACGCGAGAAAGAACTCTTTGGCTGTCAAAGCCACGCAAAAACGGACGAGCTGGAGTGTGTAAACGCTCCGAAAGGACACACTTGCTGTGATGGTCCCCCACCTCCAGTAGGTGCGAGTAACAGGACAGAAAGTGAGTAGGCTAACAGACCGAAGTCCCACATGCGGCCTCAGTCATTATCCATACTATGCGTTACATTGTAGCGCGCAAAACTAAGTACACACAAAAGCGAGGGCAACAAATGTGCTTTGACGTGCTTTACCTCATTGTTCGACGACAGTGCAGATTCCCTTCAGATGTAAAGCCGAACTTCCAGAGGCGAAACCCAAAGAGAAAACGACGAGATCCTCATGGATAAACCCACCGAGGGTTTTGGTGTTTTTGTTTAATCTGTGGGAAGAAGGATAAGCAGCACAGCTCGATGATTTCCTGGTTGAGGAGTGAAGGAGGGGGTTGGAGGTGAAGTGTGGATAGAGTTGCTACTGGAGCTGGGCTTGTGTCAACTCTAATCAGTATCCTGGACTCATGTCTCGCTCCGAGCAAAGTCTACACATATTCCGCCTCATGTCCTCGTCTCCATTCGTGCGGCTGTTTGTAAAATATGGAAGCGGTTTTCGACAAACTCCTCTTGTTCGCCGGTCGGTCTGTTAACGCTCATTCGCGACCGAAGCCCAACCTGCTCCTCAACTCTGAGGAAAAGCTTTCATTCCTGTCTGTCTCCCCCTCCCGAGCTGAAAAACAGCCAGAGAAATATACTCATCCACTCCCTAGCGGCCGAGCTCCATTACTCCAGCCCTGCGTTACAAAGCAATATCTGCTGATGGGAATGATACGATGAATGTATACTTCGTTCTGACTGGGAAAAAAAAATAATTTAATCTTCCATCTTTAAGTGTGTGATGTACGTCACTATTCCCACATTCTGTAATATGCTCAAATGTGAAATGTGAATTGTTGGAGTGGGTTTTATGCTGTGTTCATTTTCAAAAAGGTACTTTATTGCAGTGATTTTTGACATGGCTACCGTGATAATACCATAAAGTTTTCGCATTTCACATAATATATGGTATATGTGATTAAAAATATATAGATTTAATTGGTCATAATAGGCTAATTGATCTTATTTTAATGTTAGAAGATCAACAGTAATGTTTATGTTTAAAAAAACTAATAATTTAATAACAATATATCTAGATATCCACCTTCATTTACCTACATCATTATGATTTGATTCTTAAATTAATTTGTCACATTTAAAACTATTTCAGTTTATTTAGTATTTTTAATTTAGACAAATCTATCTATCTGTCTGCCTGTCTGTCTATCTGACTGTCTATTTATTTTGATAGTATCATATCTCTATCTACCTCTCTATCTATATATCTGTCTGTCTGTCTTGCTAGCTTTATCCAGCTTTGCATGTTACTCAACGTGCTCGAAATCATGGAAATCAGGTAACTTCTGAAAGATTACATCTAGTTGTGAAGTAATATAAATTAATGTGTGTAGGCTATACTATATGTGTATATACAGTATACAATTATAACTTAAAGTGACAATGTCTGTCCACACAAGTCATTTAAATTAAAAATGGAAAATTGAGCAAAATAGCTTGCATATGCGAAGTTCAAATATATTAATTTACTGTTTTTTCTGGAAACATGGAAGATATCCAACCATGTGTCACATCTGCCACCTTAGTGACTGTTTGGCTGTCCCGCTCTCTCTCTTTCACACACACACACACACACACACACACACACACACACACACACACACACACACACACACACACACACACACACACACACACACACACACACACACACACACACACACACACACACACACACACATATACATACATGTCTGATTATAAACCATCCATAATCCTGCTGTGTGCAGTTTACATCACTTACAGACCTTTTTTAAAGTAAACATTTGAAGTAATTATGTACGCCTTTAATAATTACATAATCAGATTTTCGGCCTGTCAGACGTGTCATTTTGGTTCAGAGGAGAACACTTGAGAAAAGAGAGATGTGCATCTATCAAAAGACCTTTTGTACATCTGTAGAGTGTGTTTGTGCATGTGTAATGTGCATTATACACATCTGACTGCTTTGATAAGCGTCTCAGCTAAAAGGAAACTAGTCAGTTGTAATTTTAGGCTCACCCCTCCTCCATTGAGCCACTTTTACAAGCTCCCATTCTGGCTCTGCTTGCATGGCACAGATTCACAGGATAGAGCCTCGGACTCTGTGGCCTATAACATTCTTTACACTTGCACAGTCATGCTTTCAAATGCAGACTGCATTCAAACACGAGACAAACAGAGCAATGCATTAAAGAATAAAACACCACCAGTATAGGATCCTATGCATTTGTGAGTGTGTTTACCAGAGGCTGACAACAAGCAGGAAATTCTAAAGATTTTTTAAAGACATTCTGGACGGAGGCCAAACAGCACTGACCTATAGGTTATGACACTAAGCAATGTATGAGCAATCACTATTTCGCGTGCAAAACAAACTTAAAAAGAAAGAAGAGTCTTATTCTACTCTTTAAACTTTTTTTACAAAGTCATTTTCAAAGCTATTGTACATGTAAATGATACGTGGTTACATCACGTCACCTAGTGGACAGTCTTGGGCTGTACATTCACAGTATAAGCCATTTTGTTGTTTACCACTAGATGGGGATGTAAGTACATAGATAGCAGAATACAGTCACAACAATAGCCTACAGAATCTCTAGTCTCTATCAGGAGGTAATATCACCGAGCTCAGACATTAACCAGCACTCATGTCAAAACTGCCACTAAAAGTGACAAAGGAGGACATTTTCCCGTAGTGATTTTCTCGGTTTTGTTATGATAGGCCTATATTTCTTTTCACCAAATTGTATTATGGCTTTAGAGTCTCTGCAGAACTTAGTGACCTTGTACGTTTGCTGAAAACATTTCTGTTGCTCAATGAATATGAAGAAAATACTCATAAACAGATAGAGATAGACAGAAATATACTATCAAAAACAGATAGATAGATAGATAGATAGATAGATAGATAGATAGATAGATAGATAGATAGATAGATAGATAGATAGATAGATTAAAACAATTGTTAGATATATTAAAATGTGCTGTGACTAATCAACATAAACAGTCATTTTATCATTTATTCTAAAAAGACAAGAGCATCTTCCTCCACCATAGATTCAACTCATAATTCTAAAAAAAATGGCCAAGTTTATTTCGTTTTAATATATATTGTAAGGTCTATCTATCTATCTATCTATCTATCTATCTATCTATCTATCTATCTATCTATCTATCTATCTATCTATCTATCTATCTATCTATCTATCTATCTATCTATCTATCTATCTATCTATCTATCTATCTATCTATCTATCTATCTATCTCTGTTGATCTGTGTAGATTTATTCAGCTTTGCATATTACTCAAGGTGCTCAAAATCATGGAAATCAGGTAGCTTTTGTATGATTACATTTAGTTGTGAAATATAAATGAATGTGGTATCTATAAAGTGGCAATATGTGTCCACACAAGTCATTTAAATTAGAAAAGGAAATTTGAGCAAAATAGCTTGCATATGCAAAAATGAAATATCTTCAAATTTACTGGTTTTCTTCGGAAACGAAAGATATCCAACCATGTGTGTCACATCTGCCACCAAAACAGCATGAGAAATCATATAAACATTTATTCTAAAAAGACAAGAGCTTCTTCCTCCAGATTCAACACATTTAAATTCTAAAAAAAAGGGCAAAGTTTATTTCGTTTTAATGTAGCCTATTTTATATGGATAAAATATTAAGCATAATATAATAATGTTAAAGATAGAAATCGATTTTTTGTTATCATAATATCAAAACACACAACAAGAAAACATCCTAATATTATAATATCGGGGTCCATGTAATTATTTTTCTCTCTCTAAAATATATATAGGCTATATTCAAACAGAACACGTTTGAAAATATTTTGATTTTTTTATGTTTCCTTAAACTAGGCTACAACACAAGTAAATTACAGAATTTAATAGATATACAACTGTGCGTAACAATGAGCAGGTAACTAATGTGTTGTGCGCACAAACAGACAGAGAGAGATAGTGTGAGCGCACAGGATCAAGTGCGCACAAAGCAAGAAGGCAATGGGTGACGGTGTGTTCATCATGACTGTGCTGTCAGTGTCACCCTTCGGCTCCCCGGTGCGCACCTGATCTCGCGGCTGCGGAGCTGCTTGGAAACAAACTGCGGAGTCTCGAGTTACCGTGCGCGCGATCGATGGCTGATGTGAGAGCCCCGCGCGCCGGGCGACAGTATCGCGTTGCGCGCGCGGGGGAGACTGAGTATCGACGCGTGACCGATCACTATCATAATCACACTTCCCCTCTTATCGCCTCAACTTGCTGAATAAAACATAGCGCTTTCCTGCCAAGAGCAGTCACCCCGAGCAAACTTATTCAAGTTCATTTCACACACTCTGAGAAAAGAAAAAGAAGAGAAAGATGAAATGGGAAAATACACTGAAAAAAATCACTTGGAAATTGCTAGTAGCCTACATTTCGCCAACATTTACAAAGAAACGGCAAGTAACATAATGAATTAAACGTGAAATGTTTAGTAAAATATAGGCTACTCCAATAATCTTTATTTTATCTTTATTAACTTCGAAAAATCATGTAATTGGGATCATTCCTGATATGAAGCATCTTCTGAAATCTCTAAATTTAAAATGAATATGCTTGTGTTGTAGTTTCAAAAAATACTTTTTATAAAATAATAGCAGACTTTCATAAATATGCTTGGCTCGGGCTCAAGAACGTACAAACGCATGAAAATGTTTCCATAATTTCCATCAAGTTCAAAGCCACATCGAGGGATTTACAAATCAACTGATAATATTTTACTGATATTTCTGCTGTTTTCCCACCAACAATAATGTCAGTTTTTGAGAATGGTGATGTCGTTAAGGAACGTTTTTAACATGATATGTTTGAAAAATTTCCATTAGAGAAATGAAATGAAGATTCGCCTGGAAAACTTATAGACATGTTTCGTGAGTTTGTATTTTATCCAGTAAATGGAGACAAATGTGATGGGAATATGTAAATTCATGCAGTGATAGCCAACTAGAAATGACCCTGTTGGAGGCTTAGAGCTTCACATGGATGTCACTAAGCAGAGAAGGCAGCGAAATTATTTCGTTTGTTTCAGAAAACAGCGAAATAAGTAAATATTCCATGAACAATTTCAGGCACTTTGTATTGATTTTCTCTCATAGATATGTGATAGGCTTATCCAACTTTCTGGAGCTTGCACCTAACACTTCTCACTTGCATATTTATAAAAAATACAAATAAAAACTAGATCCATCATTGATTTGAGCTCTGCGTTTTAACACAAAAATTCCGTTCCTTTCAAAAATATACATGCAACATATAGTTTCCCCTAAAATATCAGTTATTGTTTAATAATTATTGTTATCTAATTTTAAGAAAACGCTTTCTTTTGTAATACATTTTTTGTGGCTAATACCAAGATGCCACATTTTGCAGGAGACATTCTGACTTATTGTATGCCTTCATATAAAACTAATCAATGTGCATTTTTTTATTGTTACTAAATGCAGAGGCCCCAAAGGACACTTGAGCATTAAAAATGCAGTAAAAGTTGCATTTATTTTTAAAGAAACGTTCAAATGTAAAG